CGGCTCCAAAGATAGAAGTGACAGCTTCCTCAGCTGAGTCCCTGGGTCGCCACCTGTGTCCTTCCTGCAGATCGGATTTATAGAGTGTAACATTTTAATAAAAAACACACACACCTTCCCATTTTGGTGCATTAAGAGATTTTTAACAAAACACTGCAATGTTGCTATAAATTTCTCTCCCAGCACCCTCACAAGTAATAACTCAGCTCTGGCATTTTGCATTTAATGTTTATTTTGATGGCTACATTCCAGCCAGAGTGGGGGCTCAGGATGGGGAGGGGTGGGGAGAGAGAAGCAAAATGCCTCCTCTTTCCTGACCATTAACTGTGTGTTTTTAATAAAGTCCCCACAAATTGGGGAGCCAACACTTGGAAAGGAAGGAAGAAAATCATGACACCTTATCAGGAAGGGCGAGTGGCCTCAGCTCTAGGAAGTAGCTGGGGTGAGGCCCCAGCTGGGTCCTGCCAAGATGGATCCCCAGAGGGTTTCTGGAATGTTCTGCCTGAAATGCCCTTCTCCCTAGCAGCTTTGGAGGCATAGCTCAAGCCTCATCTTATGGAAGTTTCCTCTTAATCTTCTCTACTGGAGTGATGTGCCCCTCCCCTGAACAGCGTTCATTCTCTCCACCCATCACCTGCAATGGAGACCTCAGCTGGAACAGACTCGGAGCAAGGAATGTTGAATGAATGAAGAAGGAACAAATGAACTAAGTAGAACTGGTTGGAGAATTCCCTTTCATTGCATTTGAGTTACTGCCATGAGGGCAGCTATTATGGCAATGGTTCATGTTCATTATTTTCCCCTTTAAAACGGGATCCAAATGGTTTAAAATCAGATGAAAATCAGCTCATAAGTCTCATCTTGTTCACAGGCGCCATATTTCAGATTTCTTACACCAAAGACACAGACCAGAGGAGAGGTCATTTAGGTCATCTAGTCCGTTCCTTTGGCACCAGATCAAAAGGAAAGGTGGGAAGCTGCTCCAAACTGCCAAAGATGTGAGGCAGCCTCTGGGAAGGTTGAGGCTGAGAGTCCCGAAGCCCCACAGCTGCTCATGGCTATGCTTCCCGTCCCTTGGCTGTGGGGCCTCCCTGGTGTCCTCCCGCCATCAACCTCTCCTCCTTCCCAACTCCCAGCCCCTCCTGCTTGCCTTTCCATGGCAAGCCTGACCTCTGGGGGATGCCCTCTTCTTTGCCCAAGGCTTGCTCAAATCCTAAGTGGAGATAATGAATGGAAAAAACGTTATTAGCTTGTAAACTGCAAAGTGCCTCAGACAGGGAGGGTGGCACTTAACACAATGGTTGTGAGTCATGTGGGTAGTGAGTGGGTCAGACACCGGAATCAGAATGATTTGGGCTCTGCCACTTATTGGCACAGGGCCTCAGTGTTCTCATTGGTACACTGGGGTCTTTAGTAATCAGGTTGGGGGAGGGGTTATTTGAGAAAGTTTATGGGAAACAGTTGATTCAGGTAAGTGTTCCACTGTCACATTCCAGGATAGGAAGGTCCTTGGCTCTACACCTGCCACTCTTTGATCCCCAGACATAGTCAGCTGACTGGACAGGGATCTCCTTCCTTCTCCTACCTCCACCCCTTGTCCTTCCTTCACTTTTTTACTGGAGGAAAAGAGTTCTTCTATCAAGGGTTCGAATCCTCCCTCTGCCACTTATTAGCTGTGCAACCTCAGGTAAGTTACTTAACCTCTCTGGGCTTGTTTTCTTTTATTTGATAAATGTGGATGATAATGCTGGCCTGCATGCATTGTGAGGACTGAAGAAGATGATGAGAAAGCCTGGCACACAGCAGGTACATCTAGATGTTTTTCCTTACCCTTCTTTCTCTGAGTATCCAACAAGCAGATGCTGTATCGGATGCTGCAATGCCTCTTTTAGGGTCTACAGACAGATGGTGCCTAATAGCTGCTCTAGATAGATGGACTGGTAGGAAGCTGTATTGCCCGTACTGGGGAGCTCTCAGGGAGACCACGTCACTCCTCCTAGCTCTATGAGGATTTTCCCCTTTTACAAGCTCTCAGCCTGGCCCATGGCATTTTAAATCTGAGATAAACAGTTCCAGGGCTAAGCAAGGGATCAGGGCTGCTCTTGGCTCTTTCTAAAGAAGTGTTTCTGAGCCTTTGAGGCAGGATCTTAGCCCCCCATCCTGCAGCCCCTCTAGCTTTAATGGGTGCTGAGCACTTTACACCCCGTGAAACCTGCGGCAAATGGTTCTGGTCTCTGATGTTTAGTCCAGGCTGGCAGCAGGGGCTGGCGCTCAGCCTCTGCCTGAGGAAATGAAAGCCCGATGGAGGCTGGAGGAGGAGGAGGCATGGGAACTCCCAGGCCCTTACCCTGGTGGTGCCATCCCTCAGACATCTCTCCCTTCTCAAACTGAGGGCAGCAATTCCTGTGCTGTCTGGCAAACTCCTAGTCACTTTCATAAGCCCTGGCAGCCCAGGCAGCGTATCTGACCCTTAGTAATTAATAATCAAGTCAGTAGCATTTACTTAGTACCCATTATGACCCAATTCTGGGCTTGTTTTGTAGATTCCCTCTTCCGGGCAACCCAAATCAAGTTAGCTCCCTCCCCATTTCACTCTAATTCTTTGGGGCACTCAGCACCAGCTGCAGTTACCTGGTTTGTTTATTTGTTTACTCATCTGCTCTCATAATGTGAGGAATCGTGTGTTTGCTCAGCTCTGTCTCCAGGGCCTGGAGAAGAGCTTAGCACAGCGCAAGAGATCAGTGAACATGAGTTTTTGCCTGGATGAATGGAAATCTTCAGAGCTGACCTATAGGAGGGTACTATGATCATCCCCATTTTGCAGAAAAGGCAACTGAGGCAGAGAAGAGGCCAGGAGCTTTGACAAAAGGCTCACAGGAAGGGAAGAGCTGGGGCTCTAACCCTGATGCTTGAGTAAAACCAGCTCCGCAGCCACCTCATCCCACTCCCCTGACTTCCCTTATGCTGAATATCCTCTTGGAAACAGAAGGTCTCTTCAAAAATGGAAACTTGTCACCCTTCTTGTGTTTGAAGAAACATCTCCCAGATATTTGTGTTCATGATCTTAATTTTTTTCTGCAACCAGCCAGGTCATTGTCATTATATGCCATTTTATAATGAAGAAGTCAAAGCTCAGAGAGGTTGAGCACTTGCCTAAAGACACACAGCAAAAACATAGCAGAGCTGGCATTCGAGTCCAGATCTGGCTGGGAAGCCCATACAGCTCTGGCCTTGCAAACACGTGGCTTTCCAGGTAATCTGAAGGATGGCTCTGGACTTGGCTGGGAAGTGGCAAAGCAGAAACTGGGCCAGGTCTTAAGATGTCACATCCAGGTTTCCTCCCCACAGCACAGCATGGCGGCCTAGAAGCCAGGTGGGCAGAAAGATGGTATGAGGGCTGGGGCTGAACACAGGGTGTGATTGCCTTGAGGGCCAGGGATTGGCAAGCTGGGAGGGATCCTCTAAGACTCGGTGCATGTGTGTATGTGTGGGTGCATGTGTGCATGTGTGTACATGTCCGTTGTATGTGTGCATGTGTATGCATATGCATGCGTGTATGTGTGCATGTGTGTATATGCGCATGTGTGTATGTGTGTGCGTCAGTGTGTATGTGTGTGTGCATGTGTGTATGTGTGTGCATAAGTGTGTATGTGTGTTTGTATGTGCAGGTGTGTATGTGTGTACATGTGTGTTTGTATGTGTATGTGTGTGCATGTGCATATGCATGCATGTGTATGTGCATGTGTGTATATGTATGTGTGTGCACATATGTGTGTATGTGTGTATATGTGTATATGTGTGTGTGTAAAATACTAAGGTCTGAGCATTGATGTCCTCTTACTCCACTTTCACCCCACCTCACCGTGGATCAGAGTAATTGTGGAGGGAGGGCAATGGGCAGAGAAGCTGGAAAAACTGCCTTACATAACATGGGAAAGGCAGCAGAGCTCATGGGCAGCAGGAAGAAGTACAAAAGGGGAAGGTGCAGGCTGGGGTTGGGGGAGTGAAGAGGAGACTTGGAAGGCAGCTGCCATCTTCGGTGCCCAGGGGAGGTGGGGAGAGCCTCTAAGGTGTTTTTTCATGTTGTTTGTGAATATCTAATTATAATATATAACGAATATATGTGTAGAATAGTCCTTTTCTTGTGAACCATGCAGTGAACACTTTAATGAAATTTCAAGAGACTTCTGGATGTTGTCCCTCGGTTTGTGGCTCAAGTCTGGAGGGTTATGCCCTGGCTTGGCTTTCAGGAATTAACTTGTGTGCATGTGTGTGTTCACACGCATGTGGGAGGTTGCTTTCATGAAGGGGTGTGTGTGTGTGTGTGTGTATGTGTATGTATCTGTATGTGTGTGTGTGTGAGAATATCCACAACCCAGCCCAAGACTGTGAACACGGCTCTTCCCTCAGGAGGTAAGTGGGATGATCTCACAGCATCCAGAAGATGTAAATCAGAAAGAGTTCCCCCAATCTCCCCTTTTGGGGAAGGGGTATTTGTACGGTCAGAACAGGATGTGGGGCAACACTCCTAGAGACAGAAAATGCAAAGTGGTGGGGGAGAGACATACAGAACAGAGTAGGAAGGAGCCAGGCCAGGGGGTGATCATTCTTGGCTAGTTCTTGGGATGAGGGTGGGAGCACCATGGAGGGTGTTCAGTGGGGCTGTTCCTGCCTCCCTCCGCATCTTCCTGGAGTGTGTGTTGCCAAGGACCTCTGGGAAAATACAGCAATGAACATGGGGAGAGCCTGGAGCTTGGGGCTGAGAAACTGATGCTGCCTCCTGGCTTTGCAAATACTGGCTGTGCAATGTTGGGCAAATCACTTGACCCCTCTGAGCCCAGCTTCCTCACAGTGACACTGCCCTTCTGGAAGCTGGGAGGACCAGGCGGGCTGGTGGGTGGGAAAGTTCTGGGTGTGTGGGGACCGTGTTCAGGATGATGGGGTTGCCAGTTATGTGTGAGTGTATACCTGTAAGGTCACCTATAAAAACCCTCGCAATATTCATTTCCTTGTATTTAATCTTTCTGACTTTGACAAAGTCAGCTTAACTCTTTTAGGAGGCCAGTCTGTTTGCCAGCCCAAATGTCCAGCCTGGATGTGTGTCCAGACATGCTGTGACGGCCCTCTAGAGTCAGGGAGTGACTGAAGCCTACGCCAGCTGCTACTTGCTCTTTCTGATGTCAACTTTAATGGCCTGTCCTTGGTGTCCAGAGAAGCGCAATGAGAGAGTAGGGAAGAATAGCCTAGAAGAAAAGAGGCAGGAAGCATCGAGGAAAGCATCAGGGTCACATCAGACCCAGCTCTCTTGTTTCTCGTCCTTTCCCGGCCAGACACCATGGCCAGTGTCCTCACCCATGGACTCTCCTTGAATGCACAAAAGCACTCCTGGTGGTAGGCATCCATCGCCGCTTACAGATGAGGGCGCTCAGCAGTAATGGTGCCGCCAGGGGGCTGGACTCAATGCTTCAGTCTCCTGTATGGTCCTGGCCCCAGATCATAATCCTATGTTGATGGGGAGGAAATTATTGGCCACTTGCCTCCTTCTTTGCAAACCTAAGTCATGCCCCAGTTTACATCACTGAATGCACTTGTTCAATTTTGTTTTTCTGGCCATGCTGATGGATGCAAATCCTTTTGACCCTATGAGGGTCACAGACAAGACAAGTCCCTGAGACTCTGAGTGGACGATTTCCGTCACTGCCTCCTTGCAGGGGTGTGGAGGATGTTTCTGCTATTGCCTTCCCTGCTCCCTCCTGTCTTTTTTCTATGCTGTTCCCTCCCTGCTCTCTTATTGAACTTCTCCTCTCGACCCTCCCTCTCCCCCACTTTCCCTTGCTGCCCCTTCACCCTGGCCTGGCCCCTTCCCCTCCTCTCCCCCAGGCCCAGAGCCAGAGCCTTGGCCAGGATGAAAGCTGCTAGCCAGGCCCATAAATCAGCCGGCCAGTGCTCCTTAACCCTCCCTATTAACCTCTCACACTGGCAGGCACTAGGTGTTATACTTGGCCGCCATAAATTACTCGCCAATGAATTTATGAGCACTTACTCCTTAGGGGCGTGCCTTAGCATCCTCCTCTCACTCTCCTTCTGGGCCTGCAGAGATCAAGCCCAGGCTCTTGGCAGTGCCTGGTCCTAGCCAGAGACTCCCCGTTTGGCACTTTGCATGGGACCTCCTGCTATAGATGCTAACTAGAAGGCAGAGGGGCTTTAGGGGAAGGACAGGGTCAGCATTAAGTCACCTCTTAACTTGCCTAGCCAATTCCCCTCTCTAGAGGCCATTACCTGGAGCTTCTGTGCATTTGCCGCTCTAGGTAAACTGATCCTGAACAGTACTATCAAAATAACTCATGGCCACTATGGTTCATACCTGCGTGACTACATAATCTGCACAATAAACCCTTATGACGCAAGTTTACCTGTATAACAAACCTGCATGTGTACCCCTGAACTGAAAATAAAAGTTAAATAAATCCTTTAAAAGCTCCGTCATGTTCAACACCATTGATTGTGCCAGGCACATAGAGGCTCACTGCCTCTAAATTATTCTGAAAGCCCTGGATAGGAGTCATCGTCCATCTCACGGACCCAGAAATGGAAGCCCAGGGGAGTGATGGGGCATGATTGAGGCTCCCGGGCAGATGGTGATAACAGCTACCTTCTCCTTTCTTCCTGGCCTCAATCTGGGAAGAAAGGGAGGGACACTATATAGATGAGAAAGCAGAGACCCAAGTCACACAGCTCCTAAGGGCCAGAGCCGGGAACCGCTGGTGCGGAGAGTTAGTGGCTTAATTGTACCCTAACTTAAAAAATCGAATTCTGCAAAAACAATTTCACCTATGACAACCACGGTGACTCTGTGAACCAGAATATGTGAGTCATTCTCCAGGCCGGCTGCAGGTCAGTTCACTGGAAAAATCGCCGTGGCAGGATAGTGATGGTGATGACGAAGGCTCACACATGAGGGATGCTACCACCTACCCATTAGGTGCCAGGCATTATACGTGCAGAAACTTGCCAGATTCTCACCACCGTGTGAAGCTGGTACCGTTGTGCCCATTTAACAAAAGAGGGGCCGGGCGCGGTGGCTCACGCCTATAATCTCAGCACTTTGGGAGGCCGAGGTGGGCAGATCACGAGGTCAGGAATTCGAGACCATCATGATGGCCAATATGGTGAAACCCATCTCTACTAAAAATACAAAAATTAGCCAGGTGTGGTGGCGCATGCCTGTAGTCCCAGCTACTCAGGGAAGCTGAGGCAGGAGAATCACTTGAATCTGGGCGGTGGAGGTTGTAGTGAGCTGAGATTGTGCCACTGTACTCCACCCTGGTGACAGAGCGAGACTCTGTCTCAAAAACAAATACAAAACAAAATAAAACAAAAAGAGGAAACTGAGGCTAAGAGAAGTCAAAGTCACCCAAGCTCCTAAGTGCCAGGCTCAGGAGGCGGGTACCAGCAGTCAGCTCCAGACTCCCTTCATTGCTGGGGTAGCGACACTGATAACAAATGTGACGAGACCACAGGTCGTTAGAGTGACAGGAGCTGGACAGGTGCCTCCAGGGGCCAGGGGCTGTGCGGCACCTGTGGGAGACCCCCAGGAAAGTCCTTTGTGGACGACCCAGGGGATGAGGCCCGCCTGGCTTTCCCTCCTCTGCTTTTCCCAGGTGGTGGCAGTGGCTGGAGCTGCAAACTTTCCCTAGGTGAGCCCAAGGCCACTTGGGGTGTCAGACCAAGCCCCAGGTCTGACTCCAGCTCCTAGATCTGTGAGGCCTTCCCTGCAGCTTCCTTAGGGTGGCCCTGGGGAGAGGGGAGCAAGTGTGTGTGAGGAAGGAGCTGGCTTCAGGGGACCTGCAGGGATGGCAGGCTGAGGCTGGTGCAGTGGCAGAAGTCTCAGAGGACGCCTCCAGGTCTGCTACCACCAAGGGCCCTATGGCTCCTCTCTGCCCCCCCGCCATAGCTTTGGTGCATGTAAATATCCCCCTGTGCAGCTGGGGCGCAGCTGCAAGGGAAGGTAGCCTATGGCTTGTGCTCCTCCTGACTGCGGATCACTGACCTAGAGGAAGGGACACGTAGAGGGCACCGCTGCTGCCCCTGACCTGGAAATGGAGCAATTGAGTCCAGGATCCAGTGGGAAGAGCAGGAGTGTGGGAGTCACACAGGCAAACAGTGCACCATCCAGCTGCATGGGGTTGAATAGTGTCCCCCAGACTCACGTCTACCTGGAACTTTCGAAGGTGGCCTTATTTGGAAATAGAGTCTTTGCAGATGTAACTGGTTAAGACGAGGTCCTGCTGGATTAGAGTGGGCTGTAATCCAATGACTGGCCTCCTTGTAAGAAGGGGAGAGTGTGGACACAGACATGCAGGGGAGATGAGAGCCAGGGGTGGTAGATCAACAAGCCGAGACACACCAAGGACTGATGGCAAACAGCAGAAGCTAGAAGGAGCAGAGAAGGATCTTCCCCTCGAGTCTTTGGAGAGAGAATCTTGACCCCTTGATTTCGGACTCCCAGCCTCCAGAACTGTGGGAAAACAAGTTCTGTATTTTCAAACCACCCCAGTTGAGTGTGTCGTTATGGAGACCTGGGCAGGGAGTAAACGCATTCCCTTCCCTATGCGCTAGTTTACCTGGGTAGGTCGCTGGCTTCCTGGAGCCTTGGTTTGCTTGTCTTACAGCAAGGATGACGAAACCTGGCTCACAGGGTATTGTGAGGATTAAATGAAGCGATGTATACAAACATGAAGCAGTTCAGTAAATGGCAGTGGAATTTGACTCCACTATGTTTAAAGACAGCCATTCTTCAGAGATGGGCTCACCAGTTGCTTAAGGAGAGACTGACAGCCTCCCTATTATTTTTTAAGGTTGATTTTGGAAATTCTAAGTTAGGTTAAAAGTTGATCACGATTATGAAATCTATGTGATAATTTATTAAAAGTATTCAGCATTTTGATGAAAGGGAAAAAAATAGCAGTTGTATATTTCACTCTGTGCACACACAGATTACACGCTTGTACCAACTGAATGAACAGTTAGTTTATAGCAGAGGCCAGCTGACTGCCTGATGCCAACTGGAAATAAAGTTATGTATATGTATACACTCACATAAACTGATCTCTAACTTTGTGTATAAAACCATATGTGTCTCTCCGAGCACATTGGATGCTGATAGATTCATAACAGATGCGTACATATATATCTCTTCAGCAGTCCCCTCCAGAAAATATTTATTCAGCATTCACTCTGTCTGGGGCATGTGTGGGTACACGTGTGTGTACAGATACAGAGGTTTATGAGTTTGTCCGTAAATAATACATGCACGTAGCTGATGACACCAGGAGCTAACCACATTCTAGAGGTAGGGATGTGGGGCATGTGTGTGTACACGTGTGTGTACAGATACAGAGGTTTATGAGTTTGTCCGTAAATAATACATGCACGTAGCTGATGACACCAGGAGCTAACCACATTCTAGAGGTAGGGACGTGGGGCATGTGTGTGTACACGTGTGTGTACAGATACAGTGGTTTATGAGTTTGTCCGTAAATAATACATGCACGTAGCTGATGACACCAGGAGCTAACCACATTCTAGAGGTAGGGACGTGGGGCATGTGTGTGTACACGTGTGTGTACAGATACAGTGGTTTATGAGTTTGTCCGTAAATAATACATGCACGTAGCTGATGACACCAGGAGCTAACCACATTCTAGAGGTAGGGACGTGGGGCATGTGTGTGTACACGTGTGTGTACAGATACAGAGGTTTATGAGTTTGTCCGTAAATAATACATGCACGTAGCTGATGACACCAGGAGCTAACCACATTCTAGAGGTAGGGACGTGGGGCATGTGTGTGTACACGTGTGTGTACAGATACAGAGGTTTATGAGTTTGTCCGTAAATAATACATGCACGTAGCTGATGACACCAGGAGCTAACCACATTCTAGAGGTAGGGACGTGGGGCATGTGTGTGTACACGTGTGTGTACAGATACAGTGGTTTATGAGTTTGTCCGTAAATAATACATGCACGTAGCTGATGACACCAGGAGCTAACCACATTCTAGAGGTAGGGACGTGGGGCATGTGTGTGTACACGTGTGTGTACAGATACAGAGGTTTATGAGTTTGTCCATAAATAATACATGCACGTAGCTGATGACACCAGGAGCTAACCACATTCTAGAGGTGGGACGTGAGCACTGCTGTTGGAAAACAAAGTATACGCCACATGCCCTGGTTGAGACCTGGGCCAAGGCCTGGAAATTAACACCAGCTTCCAAATCAGAGACAAGATAGCACAGGGCAGATTTTGGGGCACAGGAGGAAGGCCTTGAGACTTTCTTTCTTTCTTTTTGAGATACGATCTCGCTCTGTCACCCAGGCCGGAGTGCTTACTGCAACCTCGGCCTCCCAGTCTCAAGCCATCCTCTCACCTCAGCTTCCCGAGTAGCTGGGACTACAGGCACGTGCCCATGCCCGGCCACTAAGTTTTGTATTTTTTGTAGGGTTGGGGTTTTGTTATGTTGCCCAGGCTGGTCTTGCCTACACGATCTGCCTGCCTCGGCCTCCCAAAGTGCTGGGATTACAAGCTTGATCCACCACCCCTGACTGGCCTTGGGCCTTTCTAATGGGAATGGGTTCAGGCTTGGGGCTACCATCTCTTCAGGTCAGTGGTACCCAAACTGTCAATGTCTCTGTCTTGGAGTCGGGCGGGGGACATGAAATGAAATGGTTTTCAGGAAGAGTAGCATCTGGGTTCCTCTGCCACTTGTCCCTGCCTCCCATACTCAGAAGCTCCTCTTGGAGACAGGTAGACTGAATGCCTTGAGGCCTACTATTCCTTCAGCTCCCACCTCCTCCTTCCTGGATCTTCTGTTCAGGATGGGGCCAGGCCTGGCTAGCTAAGGCAGTCAGGGAACCCTGGGGGACGGGGGAGCCTCGACTCTATTCTTTCCCTCACAACTAAAGTAATGTATACATCCCCTGACTTGCCTGCTAGACTCCAAAGCAGGGTTGCTGGCTGTTCTGACCCGGGATCCCAGCACAGAGCCTGCCCCATAGAATGTTCTTAATAGACTATTGGAATACAGAGGCTTAGATAGGTGAAAGGACTTGTCAAGGTCAGCCAGGTGGTGGAGTGGGGTTTGTGTGGACACACCCCATATTCAGAGCAGACTCCCCACTGAAGAAACAAAGCAGCTTCCGTTGCCTTATACCCCACGTGCCCAATGGAACATGCGCTCCAGAGCCCACCCAAGTCTCTCGGTTCCACACCTGCATTCCCACCAATCAGTGCCATAAGTGCACACATTAGGTACTCAACCAGTGTTTGCTGCCAAGTCGTTGCTAAGTCAGCCAGTGTTTGCTGCTAACAACTTTGGGGCCTGAGCACAGAGCTCTGGGCGCTGGGGACTGCAGGGACTCAGAGCAACAGGACTTTTGTCCTAGGAAATGGAGAATCCTTCCGCTAAGTCACCTGAACCAAAGCGGGGTCTCCAGGAAGAAGGTAGGTCTGGAATCAGCAAAAGTCAGCTGTAGTCGATAAACTAAAAATGAGTATTTGGCCATGACCAGGAAAGACACCCCTGATCGTAACCACACATCTTCCAAAGGATGAAAGCCTAATCACAGCGATTGATTTTACGTATGGAAGGGCTGCTAAGGGTTGGGGATGAAAAGGAAAGGGAACAATTTTCCTTTTTTTAAAAATTTTATTTTGTAACTTTACACATGCAGGATGTGCAGGTTTGTTACATAGGTAAACGTGTGCCACGGTGGTTTGCTGCACCTGTCAAACCAGCACCTAGGTATTAAGCCCAGCATGCATTAGCTATTTTTCCTAATGCTCTCCACCTGCATCCTCCCCTAACAGGCCCCAGTACGTGTTCCCCTCCCTGTGTCCCTGTGTTCTCATTGGAACAATTTTTCTTTAAGCCTCTATGAAGACTGATTACTAGGTCCTGGACACACTTTATCCCATTTTAGATCGCTGGAATTATCCCTACTTAACAGACGAGGAAACTGAAGTTCACAGTGGTAAAGCAGTCTGCTCAAGGTCACACAGCCAGGATGAGCCAACGCTGGTCTGACTCAACATTTATCCGTGACCTTAGGGAAAATTGCTGCTAGTTGTGCTACTGAATCTGGCTTAATAGTCATTGCCTCCCCTCCTTTTTTTTTTATTCTATAAGAATTTAGTTCTTCTCCAAAGCAAAAAGGGTAAGTTTGGGGCATTTAAAAATGTATCCTTCCTCTCCCTCCACCGCAGGCATGCCATCTGGGAAGGATGGTGTGCATTCTGGCCACTGTTAAGGGCCACATCGTGGGCTTCAGGCGCCTCACGCTCCCCAACCCCCCGCCACCCAACTGCAGGCACCCACTCTTTCTTATCTCTCAAACAAAGCTCCCCAGGTGCTGTTGTGAGTGAGAGGCATGGTTTGTGGGGGTGACTTCAGTTGGCATGAAAGCAAATTATTTGCAACTTAGATGCCAGATAAATGAATTAACAAGTTCAAGGTAGGTCTCTGGTCACTAATAACATAATTGACACACAGTTCAGAACAGACCTAGACAGGACACAGAGGTGGACTGAGCCTCTGGGGTGGGTGAGGCTGCCCCCAGGGAGTTCCCACTGATGGGTCTCCCCCTTCCCTTCATCCTAGCTTATTGGCCGGGGCTCTATACAGCTAGCCTACTTCTCAGTAGCTTAGTGACTTTGTGCGTAAGTAGCTGGGTATCCTTGGGCAAGGTATGTTGGCCCTCTCTGCCTCAGTTTCCTCTTCTGCTGGTAGTAGCAGTCGCTAATGCAGTTGCTGTTATGCTGTAGACAAAGCCTGGGAAGCACTGAGTCCACAGCCCAGCTTGGGAAGCAGGGAATAAATGTCAGCTGGCAAAGCAACTGCCATCTTTGACACGGCAGCATTTCTGGGGTGACGAAGGTGCGGGGAGCAGTGCGTCTGAGTGGTGTGTGCCACCTACGCCTCTGTTCTGGAAATACCAGGCCCAGGGGAGGTATCGGCCAGTGTCCTGCCTTGCTGAGCCCTCCAGCGGAGACTTCTCCCCAACACACACACATTGCCTCCTCCGATCTCTGTCCTTTGGGCTGGCTGCCTGTCTTTACCCTGGCAAGGGCAAAGAGGCCCAGCCAGGGGCTCCCTGGACCCAGGCGGCTCACCCGAAACAGGCCAAGGACTCGCTGTCCTGGGAGGGGGGACCAGCCCTCGGCTGCAGCTGCTCCTCCTGGGAGGGGCAGGCAGGAGTTCCCCACAGTCTCTCAACACAGCTTGGGGTCAGCACCCAGAGGGGCACAACCCCTAACACCCTCAGGGACCTCTGAGAGCTGTTCCTCCTGTTCCTCATTCCTCTGTCCCAGAAACCTGAGAAAATGAGCCAGGTCCTGGGGAAACGGGGCTCCAGCTGGGGGCCTGGTCCCCTGACCCCAATTACTTCTGACTGGGGGTGGGGCAGTGGCTGTCCGTCCTCTTGAAGATTCTTTCCCCCTCCTACCCCCCATCCAGGGCCGCTTTTCCAGATTTTTCC